GTAACTCATGATCTTCAAAGTGCACATCTGTGTTGGTGCTTCTTTCCCTCCCTCTTCTGAGTCCTTTCAGCTGGTCTTTGTAGTTACCTTCCTAAGGAGGGCAGAATTTAAACACACCCTGTGTAGATACTGCTCTATCAAATATTTCTCAGATTTCAGGTGGCTGGGTCTGTATATATGGTTTTTAGGTATATAAAACAGGAATGTACATGTAGACTACACATACTAATTGTAATTAGTCATTAACAAGGTGGCAATTAATTTTATCCTTTGTTGTCTTATCTTTCAGTGATTATATATTTCATTTCTTGGCTTGATGAAAATACATGATACCTGCTCATACTGGAAAAAAAACCCCTACTCTCAGCTGTGGTTCTAAAGAAATGTTTAAAGACTTTCCTGCTTAAAATATTTCACCATTCACCTATTACAGGCCTATGGACAGAGGATTTCTATCTAACGCAGTGTCCTGACTGCTGCTGTATATGTACATTTTTTTTATGTTTAAACTGGTCATGAGTTTCAAATAGAAATTTGTCCATCAGCTTCACATAATTTTCAATAGGGAGGCCATGAAATGACGTGGGGCTTAGAATAGGTAAGCAGAAAATGAAAAGAGGTTAGAAAGTAAGAAAAAGAAAGCTTCACTCGAGCATCATCACGTATTTTCCCTCATTTATTAGAATAATGTTATTTTATTTTGTAGGCTTATTCTGATTTTCATGGGTTTTTTTGTTGGAAACGTATGAGTGTTAACTTTTAAATTGTTAAATCTATGCTATTTTATTACATTCTTTTGCCTAGTTCAAAGCTGATGCTATTCATGGTCTATCCAAGTAAAACCTTCCAACACAAGTCATCTGAGAGTTCCCTAAATGTTTAATATAAACTTCTATTAATTATTATTTATCTGATTTCTTCACTTTCATAATGATAGGCATTGTTGTCTAGATGAGTGGGTGGAAAGATAGCTGCAGTATTGATTTTGGAAGTCTTGATTTGGAGATGATAGATTCATGTCATTTTTATTTTTCCTGAATTACTGTAGCAACACTGTGTAAAATGTAAGCCCAGAGGTGTTTTTCATCCTCTGTAGTGTCTGCTTTCCAGTGCTTTTCCCATTTTGTTGAGTATTAGAAGTGGTAGCCTGTTACTGGAAATGCTCCCATTCTTGGAGAAAACTCAATTTTAAAAAATTCTGGTAGACTCAACTAAAGTTGTTTCTTACCAGGCAGTTGTCAGTATCTTCGGAGAACAAACCAAAAGTTACCTCTTGCTGAATTTAGATGACTGTCATTTGTTTCTGCAGTATGAGAACTCAGTGATTTATCCTTTGGACTAATGTATGTTTAGTCTGATGAAGCATTAAAAAGAAAAGCAGTGTCTGTGCATGAAGGCCAGTTAATTAGTGGTAGAGACTAACAACCTACTGGAGGAAGGCTGTGTGCCATCATCTCTGAAGGTAGCTGTTAGACTCTGAAGCCAAGTGCTGCTTCCTATGCGACGGAGCATCAAGTTGTTAGGTTACATCTGCTCTTACAGTTTTGGTCAAACCATAGCAGACCTTTGAGGGAAAACATCTGAATGACTTGGATGCCTTGGATCCTCTAGACCTGTGTCTTTCTGGATGTAGGCTTGGGCAGAGGACAAAAATGGGATTGGTGATGTTTCAGGGCAAAGATCTGTACAAAGATCAAGTGACTCCAGCTGTGTTCAGGAGGCCCAACTCAGGCAAACAGACGGGCCAGGGAGGGCTGCACTTACAAACGTGGTATCATAGAAAGGTTTGGGTTGGGAGGGACCTTAAAGATCATCCAATCCCCCTGCCATGGGCAGGGACCCCTTCCACTAGACCAGGTTGCTCCAAGCCTCCTTCAGCCTGGCCTTGAACCCTTCCAGGGATGGGGCATCCACAGCTTCTCTGGGCCCCCTGTTCCAGTGCCTCACCGCCTGCTCCATGGAGAATTTCTGCCTGATATCTAACCTAAACCTCCCCACTTTCAATTAAACCCCGTTCCCCCTTGTCCTGTCACTACACCCCTTTTTAAAAAGCCCCCCCCAGCTTCCTTGTAGCCCCTTCAGGTACGGGAAGGCTGCTATAAGGTCTCCCGGGAGCCTTCTCTTCTCCAGGCTGAACAAGCCCAACTCTCTCAGCCTGTCCCCATAGCAGAGGTGCTCCAGCCCTCGGAGCATCTTTGTGGCCTCCTTTTTTCCAACCGGTCAATATCCTTCTTATGTTGGGGGCCTCAGAGCTGGATGCAGGACTCTGATGGGGTCTCGCAAGAGCAGAGAGGGAGAACACTGGGCCATGTTCTCTCTCATTTCCTTTTACTACTACACCACTTGCTCCTACTTTCCACTTCTCATGTCCAGTTCCTTCTGTGTTGTACAAAGCGGTACCAAGCCCTGATGCCATCTGTGTTGGTTGTTACTAAGCACTTAGAACTGAAGCGGATGTCAGTGATGTAGCAGATGCTTTGCTGTAGATGTAGCAAGAGACTGAGCCTGGAGGTGTGGCATGGCACTGGGAAACAGGTGGCTGCAAAATAAAACTGTAGTTTTTACTGTAGTCCATGTTCTTGGTGTGTCCTGCAATCTAGAGTGCATTGCTGGTTTTTTTACGTTTCCCATAGTCAAAATTAGATCAGTATAAATTCAACTATGATGCAGACTTGCTTGTCTGTCTTTAAGAGTTAATTATGAAAATATTTTTTCAGAGTTTGAGTGGTTTATTCTATGAAAATTTTACTGGCTGTCTGAAATCAGGCTACAGTAACCAGATTAGACATGAGCACCTACCCCTGGTAGAAATCATTGAAAATGCTGCCTTTCAGATCACTTAGTGAAATTTTCATTATGCCCTTTTTCACGAAAGTAATGGAAGTAATTTATGTGTGTTATTTCCAGTGATTGTCATCCTGAAAAAACTACAGATTGCATAATCAATATGGAATTAGCACTAGAGTTGAGATGCAGGCCAGTATTTTGAATGGAGTAGGTAAAATACTTGATTTTTAGGTAGAAGAGCTGCTTTAGGGAATATTTGGTGTATTCTTACAATATTTTGGGCTTAATTACTGATGTAATTATGCTTCATTATAAGTTTAAATTTATGTTACCTGTCAGAATTCTCTTTTAGTTTTTTAGTATGGTATCCAAGGATATGGAATTGAAGATGCAGGCGTGACACTGACCCAGGAGTTCCCTAGCATTTTGAGCGCATATGGATTCATTATTAAATGCAAATCCATCATGTATTACAAACTGAAAGAAAAATTTGAAGTGGAGAGTCTTCCACCAAACTTTCTGCCAGTGTGTCCGTTTCATTGCCAGACAAATGCAATGGATGGGAGCAATCAATGCTCCCTGATACGCTCCTTTGACTTTCTTACCTTTCAAGGACATAATGCTTTTAAAGCATCTCTGCCTTTCCTCCCAAAACCATCAGTTTAGAAGTGATCAAATACAACTGAAATGTACAGCTCGAATATTATTATTTAGCTGCTAGCATGGTAACTCCAACAGTGTCTAAAAAGGGTACAGAGAAGTTTGTTTTGACTTGGTTGATTGGATGTATTTTTCCAAGCCTCACAGGAAAGTGGGTTTACAAGCATGCTGTTACTTCCTGCATGGGTTGTGTCTAGAGGAGTAGAGGAGTAGTGTCTTGGCCTATACATTTCCTTCTTCCTGGTACACTTTGGGCTTGTCTTTGGAAAATTGTGTTGGGTTATAATGTTATCTCAAAGACTTGTGATGGTTCCTGATGTTGAACCTGACTCAATGAGCAGCTCAGATGAGGGTGAATGGTGTTGCTGTGGTTGTCTGCACAGAGTTAGACCTCACAGGAGCTGTGTGACTGGCAGGTTCTGTGGTAAACGTGACACAGTCTTTTCCTGGTATTCACTGACGATAATTTTACCGTTTGTTAAGTGCTGGGCTTCTCTGAAAGGCTGGGGTAGGCACCAGTCTTGTTCTTTTGAATGAATGACAGTAAACATACAAACTAAATTTCAAAACTATCCTTAAAAGTTGTTTGTTGTACTTGTGGCTTTATTTAACTCTACTGCTCAGCTGTGGCAATCAATACTATTTCCTGTTCAGTAAGCAATGGGCTATAAAAATATTTTTGTCTCTTACAGTTTCTCTTAAACTTTTTTAGACATCCATGTTTCAGTGATCTTTGCAACTGAGATGTAACATAGAGGAAATACGTAAATAGTATATTCTGATCGAGCAAACTAGCAAAAACGTGAAGAATGTGAAGTTCACAAAGTGTGTATGATCATGGGCACAGTCTCCCATGTGATATTGAACCACAGTGTCTTTAAACCTGATTTTTGACTTCACTTTGATAGGGACCATAGGCACTGGTTTTCTTCCTTTTTAGAGCTTAGGATACTGTCTTTGAACAAGAGGCAAATAGTGGATAACATACTGAGTGCCATGGTAGGGTTAAGAAATGCAAATACTCAATGGAACAGTAGGTGTTGGTTGAGTCCCTAGACAGCGCTGGTGCTGAGAAAGGGGCAGCAACGGAGCAGGTTGGTGCAGCGGGAGATGTGCAAGATCTCTCCTTCTGGAGCTTCTGTTCTGCTGCTGCTCTCAGGGGTCTGCACGACCTGGAATCACAAGCAACCTCACAGTTGGTTGCGACACAAGTGATTGCTGTATTGTTCTAAAGTTGTACTAATTGAGTTACTAATTCCTGAGTCATCCTTTCTGAAGTAGCAGATATGTTACTGTATTTCATGCAGCAAATTGGTTTCTCTAAATGAATAGGAAACATTAGACATTCAGAAATGCCAGGATATCTGGAGTACAAAATTACCCAGTCCTTGAAGAATCAAAAACCATGCACCAAAAACATTGTAAACCATTATTTTGATATGATCTTCTGTAACAGTGCTTTCTGATCCACTCTCTGTTAGTCTAATAGTAACACTGCTTATAAAGTAATACTTCAGTAAAAAATAATTTTTTAATCTGTGTTTCTCTTTCAGGGCAATTAAAGCATTTCAGGAGGCGCTTTATGTTGATCCCAGCTTTTGTCGAGCCAAGGAAATTCATTTGCGACTTGGGCTTATGTTCAAAGTGAACACAGACTATGAGTCTAGTTTAAAGGTAGGTTTAAGACCTTTCAAGTTGAACTAACATTTGTTACAAGTTTTGTTGCATCTTAAAGCTGCAAGGAATCCATAAGCGTGTAGCAGTTAAATACTATTGTCTTAGAAATAGAAGTGCTTCCGTATGCAATGTCTCAGTGTAAAGGCAGAGTAAGGGTAGGATATGAGGTGTGTTAGGTGCCAGAAATACTCAGAAAAGCCCAGGACAACTATAGACGAGCACTGATACTCCAGCAGATCGAAAATTTGGTGTAGGGCCCTTGTTACAATAGTATGTTTTGGGGGGAGGCTGAGGATGTACAGGAGGTTGGAGGGAAAAAGAAGAGAAGAATTAGCAGATTGGATTTCTCTATGTTCTTCCTTTCTTCCTTCCCCCCGCCTCCAGTTGCACTATTGTAAACTGGACGTTCTTAAACATCATTATAAATAGAAAGCTGTTATGCAAAATAATGTTCTCATATCAATTTTTTTATAATTTCTACTTTTCTAGCAGTTAATAATTCTTTTATTTCCTGGTCTGAGAGTCAGCTTCTAAGGCGGCCATTTCTGGCGAATCAGTTAGCAGTGGTTTGTATTAATACAGTACTTAGTTTCCTCTGCATGCCTTGACATGTTTTTACTGCTTCCATTCTGATTGTAATCTGTCATTTTATCTCCCTCCATTCAGCATGTTTGCCCAGTATTTTTTTTTTTCCTCCTTCAATTTCTTACTCTATCCCCATGTTCTTTTATTCCTGACCTCTGAATTTAGGTAGGTTTGCTTTGGAAAAAGGAAGTGTTTTTAATAGTGTTTCATGTGCTGGGAATTACACCTTCAGGGTTGAGAGTTTTGTAATTTGTAATGAAGTGTAATTTATAAACATATTTCTGCATATTAATCTCTCCCAAAAGTACTTAAAACATTATATGTTTTGTTGCCAAGAATCTTGTGGCTTCCTTTTCCTGGCGGATTGTTTTCCTGGACCTTGTATTCATGAGGGTATCAGAATCGCATAGTCCCAGATTTGAGAGAGCAGAAATTACTCTCAGTGTTTCTCTATTTGTAGTAATAACAAGCATTTCCTTCATCAGGCTTCCTTTTTTCATTCCTTCATTCCTTCCTTCATTCATGCATTTCACGTATAGAGACAGGTGGAGTTGGAAATTGATCAGAGAGGATGATGTTGCATGGGAATAGGAAAGATTCAGTGCAATGAATGGCAGAAGAGAGCAAGGTGAGGGAGAGGTAGATCGCTGTTTTGGGAAAGGATCATGTACAAGTATGGGTGGTCCTATCTCCTTTGACATGGACCTAGTGTTGGCTGTCATGATACATAGGTAATAAAAGTGCTAAGGAAGTACATTTCAGTTTTATTTTTAAAGAGGTCAGGGACAAAGCAGAAGAAGAAATTTACAGGGAGGTAGTAAACTTGTAATCAATTAGTGGAAGGAATTTAGGCATTTTAATTTTTAATAAAAGAAATTGATCAAAAATAAATAATGTTGTCCTGCTGTGCCATGAAATGCATAATTCTGTCATTGAATTAGATATTTAAATAGATACTATGAGAATTCAATCTAAATAATTACTGTGTTTGATCTTCACAACTTTGCAAACTAAAAAGGGCGCTTATCATGAGGATTTTGTGCACACCAAATTTTAGTTTTCAGTACAACTACGAATGGAAAGTACACCAAAAGAGTGTTTTAAGACCAGAAAGAAGTTAATCTTTTGTCATGCAGAATTATCACAATTCCATTGCTTTTATGTGCAGTGTGATTAAGTCACTTAAGAAATCAAATGGCTGCAGCACAACCAGCTTGCCCTGGAGCTGGGGGATCGTCAAAAGGATGCTGAAATAAACCTGAGGGGGGTGTGGTGTTGCATTAGGGATAGTTTCAGATTGCCCTTAAATCAGTGTAACTGTAGGCTGTTGCTAAAAGGTTGTCTCCCTTCCACCTTGCACTCCCGCTGGCATTGTTCGGCGCCCTCCGCTCCATTGAATGGAGCGGTTGTTGCTCCATTTGCAGGCCAATGTGGATCAGAAGTCTGAACCAGGTCTGCCTGAGGTAGCCTAGTTGCTAAATCCATTGCAAGGCGGCTGGCAGGAGTGTGTGAGTGGGAAGGAGAGGTAAAGCTGTTGTATTCCCTTCTGGTGCAAAACGTACCACACAACTCTACTCTGGAGTTACCAACTGAAACATCTACGGTAGAGTTTCTAGTTTGCTTCCTTTGTTATGAAGGTTCAATCCCTAGCAGAGAATAACGATGAGGAGCAAGAAGGAAAACAGACCCAGTGGGGCAGTCCACTCAGTCTCAAACAGATTCAGCTGTTTCCATTTCAGCTCAGCTGTGGATTTAATGTAGAGTCCTGAGCATGATCTAATTTTTGAAAACAGAGTGTTGCCTACTGAAGCATACCAGCTCAGACATCAGAATGTATCACATGAGGAGCAGGCTAAGCAGAACAAGCAGGGCAGTAGCTTCTTCACAAGCTAATCTGAGTGAGATTTAAAAAAACCCTTAAGCCAGAACCCTGTGAGTGACAAGAATATGAGAGACAAGTCAAAAAATACTTCTTTAGTGAAGAGTACAAAACGAAGTGCCAGTGCAGTGGTTATCCACAAGCACCAGGAGAATAAACAAGGAAGAGCTATGAGGATAGGGCATGAAAGGATGTTTTCACAGAATGTCTGCCTTGTTCTCTGAGACTGTATGTATGATGTCTTCAGAAAAGAAAGATAAGTAACCCAGAGTAATGAAAAGACACAGGTGTCCTGTTCTGTCTCTTTTTTTTTTTTTTGTTTGTTTGTTTTTGTGGACCTTTTTAAAAGGATCCAGGATTTTAGAGGATGGTTAGGATCCAGCCTGGTAGTGGCTGGCCTCAGGCACAGACCCCTCTCCCTGGGGCTCTGTATAACATCACTCATAGCTCAGTTTGAGCTTCCCGTTTGACACTGAGGAGGAAAGTGTAAGTAACTTCATCTGGTATTCGCTTGTGACTGTTCTGGATTTCACAGATTGTACCAACGTTGCATTAATGTACTTTGAAATATCATAATATTTTTGATGGTATTTAAACATTCATGTTAAGTCTGTAATTGCTAAGAATAAACCATTGCCAACAGATGAGTCATTGTCAGTAAGAGTCTTCAGGCAGAGGGGGAAGATGGGAATCTGAAGGTCATATATTCCATGTTTTTCACAATTTTAGACTATTAACATAAATCATCTATATTTTATGTAAGCATTTTAAGCACAAAATTAATTTTTACTATTTTAAGATGTTGATGATCAAGATAATTACAAGAGTGCTGTTTAACAAGCGTAAAATCAACTCTCAGGGTTTTTTTTCCGAATCAATTACTGCTTTTGCATGTTTTTAACATCGCTGCAGTTAAGACTTGCAAATGACTATGAGTACCCTTGACTGCTCTGTTATCCCATTGCCATAAACTCTGGCAAGAACACCAGTGCCGTTGAAAGTGACTTGGCCTTCAGGCTTACGTTAAGGGGGAAAAAAGTGGCCCTTCTGGTTGAAAAGAAAACAGTCCTTGTGTAAGCTGACAGTTAGGGCAGTGTTACCTTCGTAGGTGATACGTGAAGGCTGAATTTGCTCCATTCATCAGGAAAGTACAATTAATTCCAAAGTCAACTGGCAGTGTTTTTGAGAGTGTGGGGGGATAACTTTATCATTGGTTACTATAAGAGAATCGTACTATTAAGGTTTAACTCACAGTCCTAACCTTTTCACACTTTGCTACATGCCCTGCTACATGCCCTTCCTATTTGCAATTTCCTACAAATAACACTAGGAATGCTGTGTTCGGTGGTGCTAGCTATGGTAGCACCACGATAATTTGAAAGGATAGTAAAGCAATATCTCTTGGAATAGAATACAACTTTTTATTGGTTCGGTAAGCGTAGCTGGGAAAAGTGTTCAAGCTTCAGGGTATGTGCCACATCATTTCTGGCATGTCAGTTGCTGTCCCAGTAATTTTCCTATTTATTGAATAGACATTTTCAATTTTAGCCTCCTTTTTCATACACGTATGTAACCATGCTGTCTTGCGCATGTGTCTCTATTCTCAAGCACTTCTGGGCCTTAACTATTTTCTAGCAAATAAGTCAGAATGAAAGAGATTTCAAAGAGAACTTCCTAGAAATTTCCTGCACAACATGTTGCCCCAGAGCCATTTGAGCTGTGCCAGCGGAGGACCAGGAGGTCTGGTTGGCTTTGTCCACATCAGAGGCACCGAATGACTGGTCCTGGGTCTGGTCTACTGGGACGTGAAAAACTTCTAGGAAGGGAACTGTTGCATCTGCACAGGAATTGCTGTGCGTTGGGTTGCCTCTGAAGCTGAACGCAGAGCGAGGTGGAGCATGAAAGGGGAGCTGAGTGTGTCCTGTGGGGCCATTAGCATGCATAAAGGGAAGCTGACCAAAAAAAAAAAAAAAAAAAAAATACAGCTTGGATATTATTTAGTATAATAGTTGGGTTGCATTGGCAACAGCAGGTATGGGAAAGCGGTCTTCCATCTGGTGCTCATTCTGCTTGGCGGCGTTGAAGCATCGTCGCGCGCTTTCGTTGGAGAGTTAGGGCTGCAGTCCTGGAAGCCCTCGGAATGTGAAATTCAGTGCACGTCTGTTGTTTGCTGACAGACTACTTAGGGGGGGAAAAAGAAACCTTAGTTTTTCATACTTAGTAGTATGATAACATTGAGGGAAAGGTGAGTGGGTGAGAGGGAGATCTTCTGTGGGCTTAGTATTGTGAGGGGGTGGTTTGTTTGGTTTTGTTTGGGGTTTTTTTGGTGGTGGATTGTTTGTGGGGTTGTTGTTGTTGTTTGTTTTTTAATGGGTGGCCAGTAGGGACTCTGGATGCGAGCAGGTCATTTTATAGCAAACCAGGCTATGTTATGCTTACGGAGTTTTGTTTGTTTTTTTAAATGTTGCAGATGCATCCTGTTCCCAGCAACAAAACCCCTAGAAGAATGAGAACTCAATTTCTCATGTTTTCA